GTTGCGCAGGGAGATGGCAGACATACGAGGCGCGGAATGTAAATTTATTATTTTGTGTATACTAGAAAACGTACGTACTAATAATTCAAAATTACGTACGTATTGGAGGTCGTGGCGTGTGTGTTTTAAAATGATGTGTGCATTTTAAAAACGGCGTGACTGTGCGTTTTAATGGTGTATTTCAAAATGACTGATGTGTGTATATGTTCATTAAATGTAAGTGCATTAAAAAATGATGTGTGTATTTTAAATGGCGTGTGTATTAAAGTGACGTGTGTATTTAAAAAAATATGTGTGTTTAAAAAATGACGTTTTAAAAATTATGTATGTTTAAAAAATGACGTGTGTGTATTAAAAACGATGTGTGATTTTATCACGTGTGTTTAAAAACGACGTGTGTGTTTTAAAAATTATATGTACATTAAAATGACGTGTGTGTATTAAAAACGATGTGTGTATTAAAATGATGTGTTTAAAACGACGTGTGTGTTTCAAAATGAAGTGTGTGTTTTAAAAATTATGTGTATATTAAAATGACGCGTGTGTTTTAAAAATTATATGTATATTAAAATGACGTGTGTTTTAAAATAATGTGTGTTTAGAACTGACGTGTGTTTTTTTTAAAAATGACGTGTTTGAGGTTGAATGAAAATTTGTGTGTGTAAAAAGAAAAAAAACGCGTGCATTAACTTTTTTACGCCTGTAGGAGGCGTTATTTTCGAATGATTATTTTTTCGTGTGTGTGACAAAAAAAAAAAAACGCGTGCATTAACCTTTTACGCCTGTGGAGGGCGCTATCTTTGAATGATTTTTTTCATGTGTGTGTGTTAAAAATCGCGTGCATTAACCTATTCACGCCTGTGGAGGCGTCGTCTAAAGTGGTAGTCGTTTTCGTTTGTGTATTTCTATAACGTCAATTAGTTATGTACAAAGGAACTTGTCCAGCACGAACGTTTTATTTATTCGGCCCTATAAATTGACCAACATTGTCAGAGACCTGTCGATGTATTCGTGTGAATGGTTGCAGAAGACAATACGTGGACGTCTAGACCCATGGGGCCGAATACTGGTCTATCCGTAATAAATCGACAGG